GTTGGAATAAACTTGATGGCAACTTTTTTTTTTTTTTTTAAATTTTAAAAAAATTTGTTCATCACTATAGCCTCTGCACCTAGTATAAGTCCCAGAAGCAGCAGTAGCCAATTCCTATTTGTTGACTGATAAATGCACATGTGTCTAAAGGGTAAACTGTTCTGCCATGTTTGTTTTAGCAAAGGACTAGAAATATCCCTAACCTATCCTTCATTGTCCCACCAGCCACTCCTCAGAAGGAAGGTTGGGCAATCTACTTCTGTAGTGATACTGCCTCAGAAACCCAAGATGGGGTTGCTGAGTCAGGGCCGTCCCAAGAGCACATAACAACAACAACAAAATCCTTCATTGTGGTAGTTAGATAAATTATCTCACATCCATCCACTGGGGTACTCTGCTGCTATTTTCAAGCCGGGAAGATCTTCAATTGCTGATGTAGAAATGTCACCAAGCTTCACGGACTGACAAACGGAATGTGAGTAAAAATGTGTAGAGTAGCCCCATGTACATAAAATTATATGCACACACACACACACACACACAAAAAAAATATGTGCAAAAACATGTCTGGGAAGCTACCAAAAAAAACTTAGCAGTGGTTACTTCTGGAAGGAAGTGCCAGGGGTCTGGAATAGAGTATTTATTTAGTGCCTAAGGCATTTGACTGCTAACCAGAAGGCTGGCGGTTCAAACCCACCAGCCACTCCTCAGAAGGCTGAGGAGGCAATCTACTTCCGTAGAGACACTGCCCTAGAAACACAACGAGGGGTCGCTATGAGTCAGAACTGACTTGATGGCAGTGAGTTTGGTTTGGGTTTTTTTGATACATCCTTTTCATGTGAAACTGAGTGGAGTCAAAGTTTCCCCAGTTGAAGACACATAAGTAAACATGATAACTCAGTTCTTTAAACACTGAATAGAATGAAAGCTCAACTATTCCCACCACCCTGGTTAAGACAAATACAACCACAGTTGGAGACAAATAGTAAACATAATAATTCAGTTTCTTAAGAACTGAATGGAATGAAAGGTCAATTTACACATTCTTTCCAGGTTATCTCCCTAGAAACAAGTGATAAGTATGTTAATGTGTCTCAGGAGACAATTTGAAAATTAACCTTGGCCCACAGACATGCAGACATGCATGCTGCATGCGTAGTGAGACAAACAGGAAAAAAGTTGCTGAGAACTGACATTCTCCACTCTGCCTAAGCCCCAATCACCTAATGACAGGAAGCTGGTGTGACAAGCTGGTGTACAAGTGCATTACACTAAAAATCGACTGTCCCTTTAAACTGTGGCGAAGGAAGCTTCAGCCAATCCTCAATTAATTCATGCCCACATTCTGAAGTTTTTATGAATATGTATAACCCCTTCTTCTGAAACTTACAAAAACTGAATCCCAAAAGCTATTTGGGGAGTCAGATTTGGGTACTGGTCCCTGTCTCCTTGCAGTGCTGCTTTGCATTAAATAATTTTCTCTCCTCTTAATCACTCGGTGTGTAAACTGTTTTGCCCTGACTGTGCACTGGGCAGGGACCCATGTTTGGTCCTATTTCACATACAGAGAAAATTAGTTAATTTTTAATTACGTGAGGAAAAAATGCAAACACTCACGTGCATAGATATGGCAATGCACTAGGTACACTAAAGAAACACACACTGTATTCACACACATACTCATTCCATGATATTGCTAATACATCAGTTCTTCTCTCAAAGTAAACTATACATTTAATGTAATTCCAATTCAAATCTCAAACTGATTTCTTTTGAGTCTTGACAAAATAAATAAAACTCATCTGGAAGACTAAACATTTCAGAACAGGCAAGAAAATTTTCAAGAAAGATATTGAAATCTAGGATGGGGACGAGGGTTGGGCTTAACCTACCAGTTATAAAACTGTTTTAAATGTTAATGTTTTAAAATTAAAGTAAATAAAATAGTGTTGTTCTGGAATATGAATAAACTGACACAGGAACAGGACAGAATGAAAAGTCTAGAAGTAGATAAATGTACACAAGTATCTGTTGTGCATGTGTATGTGTGTGTGTGTATGCATACATATGACAATGTTAGTAGAGTAGATAGATGTTGGGGTTATTTATTTATTTATTTTTGATGGCCCAGCATACATTTCCTGCCTGTCCCTCTCCTCAAGCTTTTCTAATAGCATCTAACTTCCTTATTGGGAATTACCTCTTAAAACCCATTGGATTCAATCTGGTGGTATTGGTTAATTGGACTATATGTCTTGCCCTAGCCAATCAAATGCTCCATCCCTAGAATTTGAGTCTTAAGCAAATGGACAAAGAGGACCACTGGAACCACTGGAGCTGTTCACTTTTGCAGAACTTTGCCTGGGCATGTTTAGGATTCTTGCTGTAGGCCTGACTATGGGTCAGGTTTCTGGTCTGATCTTTATTCTCCTTGGTTATTGTATAGGCCCCACTGTCCTCCCAATTAATTTCCTTTGATTTTATCAGTATTTGTAGCTTGCCACCAAAGAACTCTTAATGATTCAGGTGGCATTTTAAACATGCAAGGAAATGCTAGGTTACTTGTAAAATGGTTTTAGGAAAACAAGCCAGCCATTTGTCAAGAAAAAATTAAATTCATCAAATAAATTCTAGATACATTAAAGAGTTAACTGTAAAAAATAAAAGCATACCATAATCAGGGAAATTACTGGGAAGCATGATCTTGGGAAGAAAGTCTCTTTAAGCATGTCTCCAAGGTCAAACAACATAGGAAAATACTGATTTGAAACCTTTCACTGTGGCACTGTGGGTGGCTTTCAGTTTGATTTGGGACTCCCAGGCTCTGGTCCTTTCCTCACCTCAATCAGTCTATCTCCCACACACAGGGCCTTGCATTGCAAAATGGGAGCAGAGAAAAAATGGCCAGTTCCCCATAGGTTCCAGATTTTACTATACGGTATTTGCAGGCACCAGGAGTTCTGGTAACATAGTGCCTAAGGCACTTGACTGCTATCCAAAAGGCTGGCTGTTCAAACCCACCAGCCACTTCTCGGAAAGAAGGTTGGGCAATCTACTTCTGTAGTGATACCACCTCGGAAACCCAAGGAGGGGTCGCTATCAGTTGGGTCCAACTCCATGGCACATAACAGTAACAACAACATTATTTAGGAAGGTCAACAAAAAAAGGGGAAGACTCTCAACAAGATAGATTGACACTGTGGCAGCAACAATGGGCTCAAACATAGTGAGGACTGTGAGAATGGCACAGAACCAAAAATTATTTCATTCTGTTGTACACAGAGTCACTATGAGTGCAAACCTGACTCAATGGCACTTTAAAACAACAGCAGTATTTAGGAATAAAGAGCCTGACCAAGTTACGTACACAATACAGTAATCTTTCCTTTCTGATGGAGATGGGAATCTTAGTAATCAAAGGGAAGACTACACTGTAGCAAGGAGACATGTATGTCCATCATCAAAAAAAAAAGCAAAAACAAGCAAACCCACTGTCTTAGAGTTGATTCTGACTCATAGTGACCCCTACTGGTTTTCCAAGGTGGTAAATCTTTACAGAAGTAGATTGCCTCATTTTCCTTCCATGGAGCAGCTGGTGGGTTTGAACAACCAATCTTCTGGTTAGCAGGCAAATGCCTTAGACTTTGTGCCACCAGAGCTCCTTGTGTCCATCATATTGGGGATAAAAGCAGATCAGTGTATGCCGTAACCAAACCAAACCAAATTCATTGCTTTCAAGTCATTCCAACTCACAGCAACCCTATAAGAGAGTAAAACTGTCCCATGGGATTTCCAAAGCTGTAATCTATTGAAGCAGACTGCCTCATCTTTCTTCCAGGGAACAGTCAGTCTTTGAACCATCAACCTTTCAGTTAGCAGCCTAGTGCTTTAACTACTCTGCCATCAGAACTCCTACCTAGGCTATATTGAACAGAAAATGGCAAGATTAAGACCTAGCAATGAGTTCTCAGAATTCAGTAGGTACTTCAGCACTGAAGCTGTACCAACTTAGGGTACCTCTGCCAGCCTTTGTAGAGAAGGAGCAGCAAACAGCTGTCCCCTTGAACCCAAATGGCAAGGCTATGAAAAATGTAGCCATGGCCCTGCTACAGAAAAGCTTCAGGCAATTCAGTGTAGCTACTGAATTTGCAGAAATAACAGACACAGGGAAAGCCAGTGGGTAGGCAGCTGTGGAGGAATGTGGCTCTAAAAATAAGCCCTGTGTATTCTCTGAACCAATGGCATCACATCGAGCAACTATGGTCATATCAAGAGTCAAACTACACCCATATCTGCCTGCAACCATGCACATTATAATTGTTCCAGCTAGATATCCATATTGTAGTAAATCATCTCGGAATGACAGTTCTACCCAGCAAACCATTTCTTGATCCTCTACAGTATCTACACACTATCTGTAATTTTTCTGGTCTAATAAAACAAGCACTTTTTAACTGAAAACTGTATTGTTTTGATGCTCTCATTACTAAGCTTATACTAGCACCTAAAATTAACTTACAAAACTGATTTTTTAAAATTTAGTGTAAATAAATATCAGTGCTAAAAAATAAGTTATAAAGATATGTATTTCAAACAGAATTCTATGCTGTGATCCTGTTAAGTGTACTACCTAGTAGTAATTGATTTATTTACAAGTAGAACAATTGAGGAGGGGCAAATACTTGTTAAAATTTAAAGTGAACAATTCAGTGGTATTTAGCATAATCACAATGTGGTGCAACCACACTTCTATTTCCAAATCATTTTCATCCCTCCAGAAAAAATTTCTTACCCCTCAACTCTCTCCCTCCAAAACAAATTTTAATTTGACAGGATTTTTTTAGAAATGAATTAACTTAAATTCTTCAGACAACTAGAAAACATCATAATTAATGGAAAGATTACATAAAACCTGAGAATATAATAAATTCTTTTTAAATGCTCTCATGCAAAATCAAAGCCTGTGCCCTTTACCAAAAGGTTTGCATTTTATTACTCACCAACTGGCAGCCTTCTAGGGAGTTGACAAGCTGAGCATTCTGACAGGAGAGAATTGAACCAGCCAAATTCAGCATTACACACACCGCAGAAAGCAGCATGAAAAAGGTTATCTGAAAACAAACCAAACAATAAATTGATTACTCACTTGGAGAGGCTTGAAGAAAAATGATTTGACTTTAAAAAGATGGTAGTTGATAAAATAATTACATGGATAAGATTTATATGTTTTAAGGTGAAGTATCATGTTTCAAAATTTCAACTTCATATTATCTTAGGAAATAAATAGAAAAGGCAATCACTGAAAATCTCCAGCAAGCTGCCATGATTTTATTCAAAACTTATTATGATTAAATATTTTAGAAGCCAAACTTGAAAACAGTCTGTATAATATATTCTCAAAATGGGATTGCTGGATCAAAGGATGAATGACTATTTAATTTTGCTAGAAACTGCCAAATTTCTCTCCATAAGAGTTGTACCATTTTTAATTCCCACTAGCAATGTGTGAGGAGCTCTGATAGTGTAGTGCCTAAGGCACTTGACTGCTAACCAGAAGGCTAGTGGTTCAAACCCACCAACCACTCCTTGGAAGGAAGGTTGGGCAATCTACTTCCATAGTGATGCTGCCTCAGAAACCCAAGGAGGAGTCACTATGAGTGGAGTCCCATACAATGGCATATAACAACAGCAATGTGTGAGAGTAAGAAAGTCTTAATTTATTTTGCTAATGCCTACAAAATTTTTTTTGGCTAAATTAAATTTAGGAGCAATTGATATTTTCATGAATGTAATGTATCTCCCTCAAATCAGCAAAATTTACCTTCCTTAAAAACTCACATGTAGGATAGAACATGAAAGAGGGTATTTGTTCATTTAGGAAGTATTTCAACTTCATAACACTAGTAATGTTTCAGCAATGATTTTAGGTGTGGACCTACTTTCCTTTTGCAATTGTAGTCCATATAAATCTCTTCTGGTTAGATTTTTGAAAACTTTCTTTAGTCCAGTCTCTAGCAAGTAACAGAAATTAAGTTCCAGCTGAGTGCAGGGCTACTAATACTTCATAGCAGAAGAATTTAAATTCCACTTTGGTTTCATAAACTTTGTCTCTACAACAGGAAAAACAATTTTGAACATCAGAGGCCAAGACAGAAAAACTATGTTTTTAACCATGGATTTGAGTATTCAAGCAGTTGTCTTTATTGTTGTTAGCTTCTTTGAGTGGATTCCCACTCATGGCGACCTCATGCAGAACTGAACAACCAAAACATTGCCAGGTCCTGGGCCATCTTCATGATCACTGGAACGTTTGAATTCATTATTGTGGCAATCCATCTCATATTTTCCTTGTCTAAAAATGAGTTTGTTTGTTATTTTTCACGGTTATTTTAAACCATCAAAGCTGATCCTTTAAAATATATCTTAGTAAACAAAATAGATCTAATATTAGTAAATAAGTTAGGTAAATGAATCTGGTACATCATGAGCTAAATGTACATTCAAAGAAACATAGGGAAAAAATGCAATAAATGATTAGAGTTATTGTCATATATCAGTTAATTCCTTAAAGAAGTTTGTGTATGTGTGTGTGTGGTTGTTGTTATTATGCCTAGTAATTAGCAGTCAGTGTCTGCTGCTTCAACAGCTCTGATCAATGATTGGTTAGTATGAAATTGTAGTAGTTGTGTCAGAAACTAACTTCAGGGGGGATAAGGAACTCTGGTGGCACACTAAGGATCTCTGGTGGCTCAGTGTCTAAAGCATTTGATTGCTAACCAGGGGTTGGCAGTTCAAATCCACCAGCCAATCTGTGGAAGGAAGAAAGGGCAATCTACTTCTGTAAAGATTTACCTCCTCAGAAACCCTATGGGGATCACTATGAGTTGGAATTGACTTGATGGAAGTAGGTTTGGTTTGGGTTTGAAATTACCAGAATCAGCTCAAAGCAGATTTCCACAAGGTAGAGGTCAGACATACATCTACTCTCCAAACTTTTTACCAATTCTGACATCAGCTGTCTCTCCCACAGGACTACTTCTTTGCTATGATAATCCATTGCAATGGTCACTCAGAATTCACAGACTATACTTACAGTAAACGGTTTATTAAAGAAGTAATGGGGTATGACTAAGGATCAGGATCTACAGGCTACAACTCAGGAGCAGGTTCAGGAAGCATGCAGGCAAAGTCTGAATGGCTTCCCCAAATAGGGAAATATATCCTTCCCTTCTTCAGTGCAGGACAGCTCTCTCAGCTCCTCTCAGACAGGCAAGCAAGGAGGCCCTTCTCTCTGTCATGCACACCCCCTCTCGGCCACACAGGCCTCCTCTCAGTCCCCTCAGGACAGGCCCCCTCTTGGCACGCCCCAGGACAGGTTTCTTAGCCCCTTCAAGATGAGCCTCCTATTGGCCTCCTGAGGACAGACTTCTTCTCAGCCCCTGAGAACTGTTGATTTGGGTGACAGTTTACAGAGCAAATTCATTTTCCATATAGCAGTTCACTTATACTTTGTCTCAAGACATTGATTGCAATTTCCCACAATGCAACAGCTCCCCTTATAGTATTCTTTTATAATACTTTTTATTTCTTTAACGTCAGTAGTAATGTCCTATCTTTCATTTATGATTCTAGAAATTTGAGTCTTCCCTTCTTTTTTCTTGGTCAGTCTAGCTAGAGACTTGTCAATTTTATTAATGTTTTCAAAGAACCAGTCTTGGTTTCATTAAATAAAAAAAAAAAAAATTTTCTATACTTTATTTCACTTATTTCTACTCTAACCTTTATTATTACACCACTCCTTCTTGCATTGGATTCAGTTTGATCTTCTTTGCCTAGTTTCCTAAGATGGAAATTTAGGTCATTGATTTTTGGTCTTTATTTATTTTTTAATGTAGGAATTTAAAGCTAAAACACTCCCTCTAATGACTTTACCCACCACACATCAGTCATTTTGTCATACTGGGGTGGCTTATGTGTTGCTGTGAGGCTGGAGGCTATGCCACCAATATTTCAAATATCAGCAGGGTCACCCATCATGGACAGATTTCAGTGGAGTTTCCAGACTAAGACAGACTTAGAATAAGGAAAGGGCCATCCACTTCTCAAAGTATTGGCCAGTGAAAACCTTATGAATAGCACTGAAACACTTTCTGATATAGCACTAGAAAACTTTATTAAAAGCCCTGAAGTTTTATGTGATACAGTCCCAGAAGATGAGCCCCTCAGGTCAGGAGGCACCCAAATACAACTTGGAAGAGCTGCCTCCTCAAAGTAGAGTCAACCTTAATGATGTGGATGGAGTAAAACTTTTGGGACCTCCATTTGCTGATGTGACTCAAAATGGGAAGAAACATCTGCAAACATCCATTAATAATCAGAACATGGAATGTACAAAGTATGAATCTAGGAATACTGTAAGTTGTCAAAAATGAAATGGAATACACAAAGATCAATAGCCTGGGCATTAGTGAGGTGAAATGGAGTGGTTTTTGCCATTTTGAATCAGACAATTGTATGATCTACTATGCCTGGAATGACAAATTGAAGAGGAATGGTGTAGCATTCATCATCACAAATAATGTTTCAAGACCTGTCCTGAAGTACAATGCTGTCAGTGACAGGACAATATCCATATGACTACTATTATTCAAATTCATGCACCAACCACCAAAGCCAAAGATGAGAAAATTCAAGATTTTTGCCAATTTCTGCAGTCTGAAGTTGACCAAACATGCAATAAAGACGTGTTGATTATCACTAGTGACTGGAATGCAAAAGTTCAAAACAAAGAAGAATCACTGGTAGTTGGAAAATAGGGCCTTGGTGATAGAAATGATGCCAGAGATCACATGATAGAATTCTCATTGCAAATACTTTTTTTCAACAACATAAACAGTGGCTAAACACATGGACTTTCCAGATGGAATACACAGGAATCAGTTTGATTACATTTGTGCAAAGAGGGAATGCAGAAGCTCAATACAGTCAAAACAAGGCCAGGAGCTGATTGTGGAACAGACCAACTGCTCGTATGCAAGTTCAAGTTGAAACTGAAGACAATTAAAACAAGTCCACGAGGGCCAAAATATGACCTTCATTATATCCCTCCTGAATTTAGAGACCAGCTGAAGAATATATTTGACACATTGAACAGTAATGACAGAAAACCAGATGAATTGTGGATGACATAGAGAACAGCACACATGAAGAAAGCAAAAGGTCATTAAGAAGACAAGAAGGGAAAAAAAGACTTAAATGGATGTCACAAGAAACTCTGAAACCTGATCTTGAATGGAGAAGAGCTAAAGCAATTGGAAAAGTGACAAGATAAAAGAGCTGAACAGAAGATTTCAAAGAGCAGGTTGAGAAGACAAAGTCAATTATTATAATGAAATGTGCAAATCTCTGGAGTTACAAAACCAAAAGAGAAGAATATGCTCAGCATTTCTCAAGCTGAAAGAACTGAAGAAAAAAATCCAAGCCTTGAGTTGCAATATTGAAAAATTCTATGGACAAAATATTGAATGATGCAGGGAATATATATATATAAAAAAAAAAAAGATGGAAGGAATACACAGAGCCCAAAAAGAATTGGCCAATGTTCATCCATTTCAGGAGGTGGCATATGATCAAGAACCAATGAATGAAGGAAAAAAGTCAAAGGTGCACTGAAGGAATTGGCGAAAAAAAAAACGCTCCAGGAATTGACAGGATACCCATTAAATGTTTCAACAAACAGATGCTGCACTGGTGGTACTTACTAGTCTATGCCAAAAAATTTGAAAGACAGCTACCAACCCAACTGACTGGAAAAGATCCATATTTGTACACATTCCAAAGAAAAGTGATCCCACAGAATGTGAAAATTATCTAAAGATGTGATTAATATCACATGCAAATAAAATTTTGCTGAAGATAATTCAAAAACGGTTGCAACAATATATTGACAGGGAACTGCGAGAAACATAAGGAGGATTCAGAAGAAGATGTGGAAAAAGGGATATCATTGCTGATGTCAAATGGATCTTGGCTGAAAGCAAAGAATACCAGGAAGATGTTTACTTGTGTTTTATTGACTATGCAAAGGCATTCATCTGTGTGGATCATAACA